TAAGCAACGGTAAAGGAAGTAGTGCAGATAAGGTTCAGGATAGTGACACATCCTCTCTTGGTTTAGTGTTGGAGTTACTGGCCACTACCGCTTGCACAAGCTATTCAAACTCACTGTCTGAATCAGTTCGGTTTCTTGAGTCTCAACTACAAGCTGAAAGACATCAATCAGATGTGCTGCGACAAGAAGCGGAAGGACTGCGGAAGTCCTTGGAGCATTCAGATGCATACTTTCTGGTGCAACAACAAGCGTTGGAGGATTTTAGCGCCAAACAAGACAAAGCTAATCATCTTGCTAAGCTTATTGCCAGCATGGTGGATACCCAGAATAACGTTTCTTGAGCTCTTCTGAAGTTGTTTCAGTTATGCTCTTGTTTTGCTGCCGCGTTTATTTGCACTGGTGGCCAATTTTGACGGCCAGTGTATATGATATGCTGCTTTGTTCCCTATATTTGCACTGGTGGCGAACTTTGATGCCCAGCGGATGTAATATGTATAATAGCCGTGATAGCCTAGCGTTAGTTGCTTGCTTATTTATTTCCTTGTTGTCTTGTTTATTTGTTTGCTTGTAGTCATTGCAGTTCTTTTTCCGCGGTTAACTAGTGGCTGCAATAACCTATTTTTTAAAACTAGGCCACAATAACTTTGGGCTAATATTTACTGTAGTGACACTGGGCCTCCTACGGGCCATAGAAATAGTGGGCCTTCTACGGGCCAGAGAAACAATGGGCCTTCTACGGGCCGTATCATCAATGGGCCTTATATGGGCCGTATGATCGATTGGCCAAACATGGGCCAATAACAGGCCGCATTATGGCCGTAAACGGTCTAGAGTTGGAATCGTCCGTTCATGGGCCGACCGTAACGGGCCATCATTAATAGGCCGTATTTGATGACGCTATGAAAACGGCCCAACGTATTAACAGACCACAAACGGGCCGACTGTAACGACGGGCTGAATTTGGCCCACAAGCAGAAAATGACAGTAATGGGCCGTAAATAACCGAATGCTGCAAATGAGCCCAAGAATAAATGGGCCCTCAGAAGGCCGAAAGTTAACTTGGGTTGGAAACGGCCCAATGGAATAACGGGCCGTTAATGGGTATAAAGTGATACACTGTTCATTATGGGCCAGTTTCACCACGGGCCGTTAATGGTTGTAAAGTAATACACTATTCATTACGGGCCAGTTTTAGCATGGGCCGCTAATGGGCCAAGAGTTACAAAGGGCTTCATATGGGCCAAAAGACGTCATGGGCTATACATGGGACAGAAGTGAAAACGGGCTGGAATCATATTGGACGGCCTAGATGACGCTACTGGGCCTAATTCAGATTGGGCGTAACGGGCCTAGGCTTAGCGGGCTGTTAATGGGCTATATGCGAATAGGCCGTTAACAGGCTTTCCTTGGGCCGGCCCTCCACCTTTTGACCAAGTCAAGCGGACCGGCCTTTTCACAGGAATGGGCCTCTGTTGGGCCGTGCCACGTGTCGACATATCATAGGCGCCTCTCTGACCCACTGACGAGCTGACACGTGTTTCGTCAGGCCAATAAGAATTTTACACGTGGAAATTTCCCATTGGTCGGGGCTGTTAACGGGTTATCGGATCCAAAACCCGACCCGATAGCTTAACGGTGTTCCGTTACAGTGGATGCCACGTGTCGGTCACCCTTGACGAAAGCACTTCTGTGACGCGCGATTTATCGTCATGGAAGTGGACACTTCCGTGATGATAATTTTGGTAATGTCATGGAACACTTCTACGACAGCACAGGTATGACTATCTTGATTCTGTCATAAATTTGTCATGGATGTACATGCATGACAAAAAAAGCGACCTACTGTGACAAACACGTATCATCACGGAAGTGTTTTTTTTTGTAGTGTGTACCGACCATGAATATTCCAACCCGGTTTGGCGGATCAGAAGGGTCCGGAATATTGTCGCCATCGGAACAGCCCCCAATCCGGCCATCTTGTAATTGATACAACGACTCGGTCTCTCCGGTCGATGACTCGTCGCCGGAATAAACGACGGTCTCACCAGCAGATTCCGATCTATCCTCGTATTCCCCTCCATGGATGACTCCCACGAAGGCACGCTTCATGGCCGGCTTGACCCGGGCAGATCCTACACGCTGAGCCATTTTGACGAGGTCAGTGTAGATGTCCGGCTCAGGGCCCGGTTCACCGATCTTGCCGATGAAGACGTGTATGCCACCAAAGGGGACCCGGTACCCATACTCAATTGAGCCGGCCTCGAGGCCCCATCCTGCATCGTCGATGTAGAGCTTGCCGCGACGACTCTTGGTCATCCGGCCCACGGCGTAACCCTTGAGTCCTTCAAAGTTGCCCTCCAAGAACTTGAGACCATCGTGCATAGCCCCACGGTGGGCGCCAACTATCGTGGTTTTGTCACGGCAGATGTCCTCTTGAAAGGACTTAGTTGTGGAACCATCGCTACGGGTTAGCTTGAAGGGGTTAAAGCGGACAAGGGACGCAAGAGAGTTTATACTAGTTCGGCCCCTTCGATGAAGGTAAAAGCCTACGTCTATTTGTGATGGAATTTATGGGGTTTTGATGACCAGGGAGCGAATATGCTTCGCCTAAGTCTCGAGTTGTTGTCTGTTGTCCTGAACCGCTGCCGGGTCGTCCCCTTATATACATGGGTTGACGCCCGTCGGTTTAAGGAGTCCCGAGACCGGCTCATAAGCGTGTCCGGTTCGGTCTCCACTACTTCTATCTTACAATACAAGTTACATACCAAAAGCCGGTTTACAGCTGCAGGCCTTAAAACGGTCCTGGGCCTTACACAACATCCTCATCTGTCTTCATGGGCTTCAAGCATAACCAACTACTGATGAAGTTAACCCAGCCTCTCTTGGCCGGTTTACACCCAATAGTAATATCCCCAACACACCGCCTATGGGTGCGATTTAATATATGATGCTCAGTTGTGTTAGTCTTGTTATTTATATTAGTTATTTCTGTATTTTATACATTCTTAAAAATGCCATTTCTATGCATATGTTATAACTTTTAAACCATTGGTCCGATTAAAATATGTTATATATGTAAATTTCTTAGAATTTCGTCAAGTTTCTTAATAAGTTATTTTCACATATGTCAACAATTTTTAACTTGATGTCTGAATTAAAAGTGCTCAAATACCCTTGTAAAATTGCTAAACTCGTAACTAATTAACTTCATTTCGGATCACAAAATTTTATATATGGTTTAGGAAAGTACAAATGTGTAGATTGCAACTAAATCATAGCTAATTAACTTTATTTTCACATATACCATTGAGTTTCATGTTAGCAGCTCCTATAATACAGTTTAGGGAAGAACCTTAATTATCCTCAGTAAATGCCATGAGGTATTTTTGAGGGTTGCTATCTAAATGTTTCCCACCTCATTTAATATGACCAGATAGAGTAGTTTACTTCTGTTTCACCGCCTTGCCATGTTGCAGCATTTAATATTGTTGTGTAACTAAATGCCTTTCCGGTTAGTGCTTTCCAAAGGAGTACACTGAGTGTTACATCTCAAGGCGTCTGTTGGGTTGTGATCCAATGAAGAAATTTATGGTTACACCAAATCCCACAATTTATTAAAAGAATACATGTTTTATGAACATATTAAATCACACGGTTCACCTAGAATGTAACATGTGCAATACATAACTAGATTAAAGTGATTTTTTGAACTTTTGCATGTGCTATTGACAGTAAAATGCACACGTTCCATCTGACATGTAACGTGTGTGATGACTAGTATCATCGCAAATGGTATATGGGAAGAAACAACAAGAGATAGTTATACCATCACAAGCAATTTAATGAAACGAATTGTCAGTGATTGACTCCATATTCTCATATGATTCTTGGTTTAGAAATCACATGGGATGGTTTTAGGATTGCAAACATTTTCCTGTGGTCAGTTATGGACTCCCCTATAGCCAACCCACTCAATCACATGGTATCGGAAACATTATGAGGTGCCATGTTGTTAAGACTACAATGTCAATGCCATCTGAAGAAGTTAAAACATGGTTTTTTTACCTGTTTTTGGAAAAATGAAAGATAAAGAATAACCTAACAGATTATTATGAGAGCACAATGATTCATGTTGTTGATGGGCACCTCACATATTGCCATGAGAGCATCAATTATCAATGTTAACTAAGATAGCGATCTTTCCTCGTTCAGGAAGCTTACCTTAATATGACTATAGATATGATGGAATTGGGTTGCGAAGTGCCACCAAACAAAAAAATATGATAAATATGACCAAGTTTTTTGATGTGTATATATACCAAGGGTATCATAAATCAACCCCGACAGGGTGTGCATAAGAACCTAGGCAGGGTGTCCATGCACCAATGTCCTTCCTGACCTTGTTCCTTGGACTTCTGATTCCCTTCCTTTATTAAATTGAACCTCCTAATTTTCCAGACTTCCCCTGGAACTCCAAAAACCTATTTTTACTTAAAGCATAAGTATTGAAAACATGAACTAGCTCTACAAAATAGATTAATATGTTGGTCCAAATAAATTTGAATATTTTTGTAATTAATAGAATTATGGAATGAATAGAACAAAAAACATAGATAAATTAAGAAGATATCATTGGTTCCCTTTTGTAGCCAATGTGCTTTACCGTCAATATTAGTTTGGATGCTATATAAATAGTAATGCACTTATCACCTATCAATGTGAGGAATGATTCAGTTCAACAAGCTAAACTTAGATAGGTGATAGATATACTATTTATTTTAAGTTGTAAGACGTGTGCCAAGTTTAGTTCACTTAGTTGTATTCCTCCGGTTAATTTTGCTTCCTTGCTTTCCTCTTGGCCTTACGACCTAACTATTTATACTATCTATAGGGCATAGACATTATAAGAACCTCCAAATGATAGAAACCAAAACACACACCATCTTCACAACATCTTTTGCCTTCTCTCAGAAAAATCACCGACATTCTGCCATTATACCATGGAGGCCTGGAGGAAGACAACCATGTGTTGTGTGATTCTTTTCTGCCTTATGGCTACATGTAGTAAGTATAATTATCCATAGTATCAGCATTTCGCCGAAGTTTCATGTTGTGTAATGACATATCAACATTGTTGGACACATTCATTCATATTACTTCTCCTAACCTTGTCTATTTATCCATAGGTGAGGTTTCATCTACCGAAAACATGTGCTATCACAACCATTGGAATAAATGCCATCCTGATCAAAATGGAATGTGTCGAGATAGTTGTGTGAAAGACGGATGGGATGATGGACAATGCCGGAACAGGTTTAAAAGACTAATGGGTGCCAAGTGCGAATGTTACCCTAAGACTTGTGATCATTAGGGAGGCAACATGCGACTTTCTTCTACCAAGTTACTACTATTTATAAATTTACATCGGTTTTAATGATTGACGTCAAACATGTTGTAACACCAATCGTGGTGAATACTATATCACCTTCTATTTATTTCTTTATTCCAGACCATTGTATTCAAATTATGATGTTACACAATTATACCTAATTACTGTTTGATGTATCCTTAAACTAAACAGATTTTTGAGTGCTTATTAGCAACATTTGATATTTCACTCGCATGCATCATCCTAGTAAGAAATCATATGTTTATTTACTAGGTTTGGTAATCAATGTGAATAAATTAAATGAGCCTTGATGAAAATTTACGATATACCCTAAAAAGTGGGGTAAAGAATCACACATAAGTTCCATCTTTTGTCAGATCAAAGTGGGATGAGACCTCAAATGTATTACTAAGAACACCTCATAGTTGTATCCTTAATCTTAATGTACTGAGCATGCCCATGTTGCTTCAGGCAGCCCCATAAATAATGCTAGACATCACCTCGGGTGTCTTTCAAATTTATACTAGACATGCATCATATTAAAGCTCATTGATTCCCAAAAGATTCAATCTAATATAGGTAAAATCATAGCATGAGCAAGATTCAATCCAACAAAAAGAAGCTCAAAATAAGAGGTGATACCTCATAGATGTCTAGGATCTTTAAATATATTGAGGTGACACCCTATATAGTGCATGAATAACTTTGAATACCATCCGTTGAATTACCTCCATCCAATGACTGATAGGAGGCAAATCCAAGCATCCGGGTCCAATGGATTAACTAAATTGTTGCACCAGATTGTGCCACCTTGCATCTCTAGACATCTCTATCTTGCCAGTCGTATGAGGTGGTTATGTGGTCTGGCGTGAATGAATCGAAGTTGTAGTAGTATCATGTTGCTATTTCCTTCTCTAGAAATCTGTATCTTGCCAGTTGTAGTAGTATCAATAGTTGGGTTTCCCGGCTCCTGTGCTTGCCTCTAACGCTCATGACCCATTCGGCTAAGAGTGTAAAGGGAGAACCACTACGACTGCGCCGACATTTCAATTGTATCAGCGGCTCAGTGGAGAAAGGCGAAAACTAACTATCCTTGTAAGCGTAAACTATTCGGCAATGGGAAGACAGTGTCCAACAAAGGTTCGTTGCAGATGATCCACGTAAAACGAGGGGCTTTTCTTCAAATAGGTGGAAGTGAATAGCGGCTTAAACCCCGACCAGTTGCCAAACACTTCACACATCGGGGGCTATTCGCTAGTACCCACAGTTAAGATCTTAAAGACTAAGTGAAAGCTATGAAACCAAAATAGTCCGATTACCTCGTTTCATATGCGTGGACCGCCTTTGGGAACCAAGACATCGGCTAAGGGTTGAAACTGCACATGAAACACCCTTTGTATCCTGTGCTTGCCTCTAAAGCCAATTCGGTCACACAAGAGTAAAAATATAAGGGCAAATAAATATATACGCTCGTACATTGGAACATAAAGCCACATTTATTACCAAACTTTGTCATTTCGAAGTATAATGTGTCCTTGGGACACCGCTCCTCAGTGATCTGAGCTCCCTCCATCACCCCAATCAAGTACTACTCCACGGTCTGATTCTTCCCTTCAGGGGGCCCGAGGCCATGAGCGTCACATCAATACGCCGATAGTTAGTCGCCATGCAAGCATACGCCCATTGGATGCCCTCCAGTGATTCACCTGAGGGCCGACCTCTCGCAGGTGAGCCTGTGGACCAAAGAAGACGCTATGCAACACTGCCGCGAGCCAGAGCTGGACGTAAACATCTTGCAGTGCCGGCTTCACCATCCGAAAAAGCTCCATCAGTAGCTTCATTTGGTTATTGAGAAGCTCTGGGTACGATGGTGCCTGGAACAGATTCTAGAATGCCTTCTCCGTGGCATGGACCTCTTGAGCACCGAAGTAGCGGCCGACGTCTGAAGCGCTCCTCATGAGGTCCCCGAAAGCCTCTGTGGATCGCCATACTTGGGTGAGCTCAATGAACCCCTTGCGGCAAAAAATACACTGATGCAAAAAACGACTTACCAACAACGATTTGCTTCACTTGCTGCAGCACTTTGCGGTCCGCCCGGGCCTGGGTCTGGACCTCAGCGTATGCCAGGCTCAGGTTCTTGAGCTCCATGGTCACCTTCTTCTCCTCTACCTGAAAGGCGTCGTGATCAACGTACATGCCTTTCAGGGTGTCCTTGACCTTGATGACCCGGGCCTGGTCCTTTCCCCGAGTTACCCTTTCTTCGGCTAGCTCCTTCTCGGCCCGAGCGGCTGCAGCCTTTGCTGCTCCACCTCACGCCGAGATCTACTTATCTCAACCTTAAGAGCCTCAAGCTCTGTCACTACGGCTATCAAAATCAAAGGCTCAGGTATTAGCATTATATCATAAAACAATACACAAAGTAAATTTGATAGCATGGTGCTTTTTTAGCCTATACCTTGAGCCTGCTTATCGTAGTTTTGTCACGGCAATATGTCCTTGTGAAATGACTTAGTGGTGAGGCCCTCGCACCTAGGTGGTAGGTTGAACGGGGTTGGTTGGAATTAAGAGACACAAGTTTTACCCAGGTTCGGCCCCTCGTGATGTTGGAAAAAGCCTACATCCTGCTTAATTGATATTGATGATGGTGATGATCTTGATTACAATGGTGCTATTTTTCTACTTGTCTTATACTTGTCTGTCTACCCCCCTTTGGGGTGCGTTGCCCTTCCTTATATAAGTTGAAGGGGCGCCTTCATGTAGAGTCCTAGTAGGATTACAACTAGTCTCCTTTCAATTTCAAGACGGAGTCTAGTTCGGGTCTTCTCCTGGCAAGGTTCGTCGGCCGGGTCGTGATCTTCCTGGCTGGGTTTACCCAGTCTGGGCCTTCTCCATGAGCTGGCCTCCAGCCTCTTCACGAGCTGGCTTTCTACTTGGTTGCACACTGGGCCTTTAGTCCTTGTCGTCCAGGTCGACCCGTTAAGTCAGGTGACTCATGGGCCGCCAAGTGATGGGCCGGGTTACACCTCCTGGCCAGGTCAAACCATGGGGAATATCCCCAACATTAGCCCTAGTTTAATTTGGATTTATCCATGTTAAACTTATCCTGAAAAATAACACAAGAACAAATTTGATAGGTTATGCACTGGGTCGAGGGTTCTTCTGGACCAACGTATGTTCATCCTACAGTCCTTGTCATTTCCTTCTTTGAAGACACCCGACCGAGTCAATCTTTGTCAGGTCGTGCAAATTTTCCACACATAGAAATTATTGAGTTACTCCATATCATGACATCATCTCAACCACCTTGATACATGTCCATGATCTCATAACTAATCTTTTTTAGCAGATATGTCAAACTTTGTCAATGCAAAAATTCAAGCGCTTCATTCAATGGAATTCCTCTTGGAAAGTCCGAGCCTCTTTGTTACATCACTGGGACGGCTTCAAAATCATCTATATGACGCTGGTTTCTTGCAGAAAAATATTGGGGAAAAAATAATCCATTTGAGTCGGCTTCCAATGCTCTGGTTCGACAAAATTATTGGACTTAAGATATCCTTATGATATTGAGCCAACTTTGAATACGTCGGCTTGATAAAAAAACTGGACTTAAGATATCCGTCTGATAATCAGTCAGCTTGAGGATGTAGAGCTTGTCGAGTTGCAATCGTCGAAGTTGTCGAGTTACAGAGATTGATGATGCCAGGTCATGATTGTTCCTGACACTGGGTCTTTATTGTTGCTAACAGTAGTTCATGTAATTTGTTGTCCTTGGTTTCTTCAGACCAAGTCCTTATAGGAAGGATCCTCCCAGGTTGGGTTTTCCCAGCCCGGGTGAATCTGAATTTTATTTCAACTCCAATATATGTATCAACTGTAACCCCAAGCTCAAGTTAGCACCTTGTGATGACTTGGTGCTTGCTTTTGTAATTATAGCTTCAAATCGTTGAGTCGGTTTTCCGGGCCTTTCTATGAATAGCTTGGAGGAGATAAACTGTGCAAATTTCTCAACAAAGTATATGATACCCGGTGACGGTGTCCTGGACTAGGGGGTGCTCACCATGTCATCTCCTGATCTGTTAGATTGGGCCGAGGACCCCCATGGCCGTATACTCATGGGCCAATTCGGACAGCTGCCACATACAAGGAAGATTCCACAAGACTTGGCGATCAAGACAAGGACTCCTCCCCACCGGCGTATTCGGCTAGGATTCTTGTTATCCTAGGCCTCTGGTGCATTATATAAACCGAGGCCAGGCTAGTCGATAGATCATATACAAACAATCATACCATAGGCTAGCTTCTAGGGTTTAGTCTCCTTGATCTCGTGGTAGATCTACTCTTGTACTACACATATCATCAATATTAATCAAGCAGGAGTAGGGTTTTACCTCCATCGAGAGGGCCCGAACGTGGGTAAAAACATCGTGTCCCTTGTCTCCTATTACCATCCGGCTAGACGCACAGTTCGGGACCCCCTACCCGAGATCCGCCGGTTTTGACACCGACACCCGGTTTGCTCAAAACTGAGAACTTGAAGGTGTACCTCCCTTATACCCATATTACATGTAGCCCCCAAGTCTTAAGAGGGGAATGTAGTGACAGCTTAAGACTTGGTTCAATATAAATGTTGTAACTTTGGAGAAATCTGGGTTGTTCATCTCAGTCACCAGTCATAAACTGAATGTTTTGCATTTTATAAACGAGCAAGAGAGATGAGGGAAGAAGCCACTCAATCGGGGCGATCAGCTCTATATTTATATCACGATTACATGGAGCCTTGGAAGCCAATGAACATACCTCCTCATATCAATCTACAAGCGAGTATAATTAGGAAAATACGGAGGTATGATATAGCTATACAAGGTATGTACTTTAACATCCCCCCGCAGTCAATGCATCGGATGGACGGACGCATAGAATGTATGGAAAGTCCATGAATAGCTGGACGGTAGACTCTTTGTCATAATATCAGGAAACTG